CCTCCATGCACGCGCACGTAAAATATCTCTCTTTCTCTCACATAAGTTTGATCATTGTGTTTCAGCGACCGCATGTTTCGGCAATGATCCAATGCGGTTCCCGTCGAGCAACCTCTTTGCGACGGCGGGTGAAGGGATATGGGACAGCAAAGCGTCGTGCAAGAGGCGGTACCTAGTGCGGTGCATCAGCAGTGCCTCCATCTCCGGAACCTGCATTCCCAGCCAGCCTATCCAAGTCCGAATCATCAACTGTGCACTGCATTCCCAGCTAGACTGAGCGCTATCCTCGACGTTGACGGCTACAGTAGATGACTTTGCGATCGTGCCGAATGCCATCATCATCGTTGTTATGAGGATAGTGCACGGTCGACGATTTGGACTTAGATAGTCTCGCTAGGAATGTAGGCTCCGGAGACGGAGGCACCGATGCACCTCACTAGCTGCTGCCTCCCGCACGACGCTCCGTTGTCCCATATCCCTTCACCCGCCACCACAAAGAGGTTGCTCGACAGGAACTGCGCTGAAACATTGCCGAAACACGCGGCCACTGAAACACAAATTATCAAACTTATGAGAGCGAGAGAGAAAGAGAGAGAATTAGCTGAACCACGGGGTCTTCCGGGCGTTCCAAGCTCGTACAAACGAGGAAAATCAGCTGCCCGAGCTTCAATTGATCAACCTGAAATTGCAACACATATATATAGTCTTATGAAGAAGGTTCTACTTTCTATGTTTTTTTCTTCTCCTTTTTCAATCTCTGAAGTTTCCATGCTGATGCTGGCTGAAGACTGGAATTTCTGAATTGAACAACCCTTTAGCTCGTTAGGTGTCGTACTCGTAGTCTGAAAAGTTTGCTTTTTCCCGCCGTTAGGTGGCCAAATGGCAAATACTAGTTTCAAGATATAACACGTTATTCATCATTCCTGCTCTACAAGTAAACATTCCGCTCTTTTCATCGGTGTCAATTTGAAAATAATTTGTGCATCAGACGTAAATCGTGACAAGGACTAATTGTGCCACATTTTCCCCTATTCATGGTTGAAGAAATGCCCTGGTCGGTGGATTAGAAATATGTACGACACCCACATTTAATTTTAATCAATTTTACACGTAGGTGGTTGGAGCTGAGGGGTGCTATCCTCATGTACTTGACCTTGTTCCCCGTCTCAATTTTTCACAAAGTTGAATTCGGGTCACGTAATGATCCAAACAAATTAGAAGTGAGAAACTCTAACAAAACTCGCCCTTCTCTCTCCTCCTTTCCCCTCTGTCTAAGATCGCATCGCTGCTGTTCCGAAGAGGGATGGGAGGAGAGAGTTAGGTTTTTTTTATTGGTGCTAGATGGACACGTTGCGAAGATTCATTAGCTAATTGAATGGAGACAGTACATGGGGATGTACATGGGTAAAGTAACTCATCATCCGGGTGTTCGATTTCGTCACTTGCCAATTAGAGACATTTCTCCGATTAGGATGGGCAAAATTGCCACGAAGAAGAAGAACCTACGTACCAGAGATGGGAACTGAATTGACATTGTCGCGTTATCTTCCTATAATCCTACTATTGTGACGGCTGATGAGCTTGAGGCTTGATCATCACTAGACTAGATTATTGCCATTACTCACCCTCACCCTGTCCATTCGGTTCTTTCTTTTGATGCAACGAAAGAAGAGATTAAATAATCGAAGTAGGAATGTAGCAAGACCAAAGTATAAAGGTTGACCGACCTTCATTGTAGCCGACTTGCAGCGTTGCTGCACATTTATGGTGTTTAATTTGGAGCATATACCAAACTGCACTACATATACTAAGCCGGATTTGGACCGATAAATCTCGTGGGTCTCATCAATTTCAACATTCCAAATTCAGTCGAGTACACGTAACACAAGTACCAAATAATTTATGCTAATTTGGATACAAACGGGAAAGCAACAGCAAAATAAAAGTAGTCCTGTTCCTTCTAGATGGTCAAGGAGAAGAAGAGCTTTGTAGATTAAAATCGAATTTGCTGACCCAATTGGTTGTCAACTAGGAATAAAGTTATAAAAAAAAAAAGTGGCATCTCAAATGGTATATATTATAGCAATTCCGTGTGAATGAATATCATCTTCATCGCTATACATGAGAGATCGAGGAAAGCTCCTTCTTGGCCATCCAGTGGCCCGCGATGAATGTGAAAGAACCAAAGAGGGCGAATACTATCAGGTGGAGTCATTTATTAACTGCCATTGTATACAGAATAAATTCAAAGAAAGCTCTGTTTTCTATGTTTTGGATCTAAAACTGTGATTGATTAGTTTACTAAGAAAAGTGTAGACGACATTTTCTCAACTTTAAGAGGGGAGATGACTCGGCATCACCTAAACTTGAGAGAGTCTCTACTGAATCGGTGGTCCAGTTTCCGGATGGATCCAAGCATCAACGGGCAGTTCCCGGTTCCCGTTTTGTGGAACCAGCCTTAAGTGGGCGGTTCTCGGTTTTAAGGTGGAAATCGCCTATCCTAATTAAAAGCGATCACCCCTAGGGAAGAGAGATTTTTAAATGGTATGATGAAAATGGACAATCCATAAGGCCCCATCAGCCATACATTATACAGCAAATTAGGAAAAAATAAAAATTCCCATCAGTAGGAGAAAGTATTCAGGTGGTATATGAATGAAAAATCACTTCAAGCATATTATAAGTCGCTATGGCTCCCGTTAATTAAAAAAAAGCAATTATAGCATTCGCGCTAGAGTAAATGTTACATCACTGGGGAGAGAATATAGTTAAAATCTACATATCTACTCAAGAAAGTTACTTTTTATATATGTTACTATCAAGGGGTATATATGCCCGACCAATATGTATAGGAAATGAAGTAATCTACTCTTAAGTAAAGTAGCTATCGTACTAACAACAAAAATAGATACTTAGGAAATAACGAAATATCAGATAACATCCTTACTATTAACAATATCTCTATCAATATTTTCTAACAAGAATTCTCTAATATCCATAAATATACTTAGATAGTTCCTCTCAAGCTAGAGCATCCAACTTGCATATATTGACCAAAAAAACCCTTGCATATGATAGGTACAACTTTCTTCCAAGATCTATGACCAAGGCACCATGGAAGCCTGATATTAAACTAGACAATGATGTGGATGCATAGAATCATATTCAAGACAATGACAATTGTGTAAATTAGACCTTACACGGCAATTTGAATGTAATCCACATCATTACGGACCTGACAAGCACCAGATAAACACATGCTTAGAAAGTTCACACATCTTTCTCTAAATTGGGATGTTTGAGGACGGTAGCTTGATTTTGATGGAGAAGCAAAACCAATGACAATGATCGAGAAGGAGCACAACACATTGAAGCTAGAGAACGAGGAAGCTCAACTTGTGGTAGACTTCACTAATACAAGGATCCCGATGACAAGATTAATGTTAGGTCATAAGAAACAACCCCCTTCCCGACGACGACGGAGAGACCAGCGACTTACGAGATCGAGCTGCTCTCAGAGACAATCGCAGCAGATCTGAGACCATGATAAATAGAGGATGATGGTGCTACTCTTGAAGACTAGTGGTTGTGGTTGCTCTCAAAGTTGAAGATCGGTGTACGAAAAACAAAGGACATTGGACGACAAACGATGGTAGTCTTCGTGTCGGGGTAGAAAGACGATGGTAGAGAGGGGGTTCTTTTTAATTTTTCTTTAAGGCTGATGGCAAGAAAAAAGATAAAATAGGGTTTAAATTTGGGTGCCTATCATCTTGTGGCTTCGATACCATGTGAATGTTCAAGGATCTTCTAGAGAGAAGAACATATAATATAGTTAAAGGTTGTATCTTTAATCACTAAGTTAACTAATTAATATATTACAATCGGGATATATTTGTACCTAAACAATATGTATTGGAAATAGTGGTAATCAATTCCAAGTGGGTTGATTCCAAACTTATAACCTGGAACCTACCTTGTTAGAACTGATTCCCAGTTTTTGGAACTTGGAACCTACCATATTTGTGCTAGAACCTAATCAGTTTTTTTGTTTCAGTTCCAAAGCCTACCCGAGAACCTATTTTTTTATTCATTTTTTTTGTTTGATTTTTATAGCAAAATAATACGAGCAACAAAACGGTTTGAAGTAAAGATGAACAACATAAATCCATATCCGACAAAAGCAATAATCCGTAAGATAGACATGTAGTCAAGTACAATTATAAACGATAAAAAAATTCAAACACGTAACATAAAACATTAATTATAATTGGAGTCAATGAGCCCTGTTTCCAATGGAGAATTGGCAGGTTAGGCACGTCGACGGCAAAGACAGGTTGCAAAATTGAAGTCGGTGAAGTGCAAAACAAGAGAGAGGCGGAGCTAGGGTTACTGGGAATAGAGAGAGAGAGAGAGAGAGAGAGAGAGAGAGAGAGAGAGAGAGAGAGAGAGAGAGAGAGAGAGAGAGAGAGAGAGAGAGAGAGAGAGAGAGAGAGAGCTTGGTTGCTTCAGGTTGGGTTATTGCAGGCATGGGTGGAAGGGGAAGACCAAGAGAGGATCGAAGATGGCGGCGAGGGTTTCCGGCGGCAAGAGAAGGGGATTGTGCCATACGAACGAAGAGGAAAGAAGAGAGTATGAGAAACAGAGAAGGAGGCTGAGGTTAGAAGAAAAAGATGGCAAGAGAAAAATTAGGATTTTTAGGCTTTATGAAACCAATTCCAAATTTGGTCCGATTTTTGGGTGGTTCTTAATTCGGAACTGGACCGGTTCTCACTGATTCCAAACATTTGAAACTGGAAATCGAGAACCGGACCAATTTTCAGGGTAGTCCAGTCCAATTGCACATTGCTAATAGGAAAAGAAGTAATACGAACTAACAAAAAAAATTAGCTATCATAATCTAATAAGGAAACAAGCTATTCTAGAAAATAACAAAATATCAGACAATACGACCAATATCAATCTCCTTATAATATTCTCCAACGGGGAATTCTCTAAAATCCATAATTATATTGATCAATATCCAGTTTAGTACGTTTAACAGATGAAACCGCATTATTTCCTAATTATTTAGACCGGGGAACTCGTTGACCAGCTCAGATGTCCATGTGTATGTCCCCTTCAAACCCTGCCAAGAAGGATGTCAAAAAAATTGCCGTCGTTATCACTTTGCCTTCAACGTTGTAATACCCAAAACAATCTACATGATAGAGAATGCATAAGATGAAACTAATGACTTTCAGTTCACGACGGTCGTGAAGCACTATCTTAGCATAGAAAAGGATGAAGAGTCCGTGTCATCAAAGGCCTATGGACAAGCGCTTGCCACCTTGAGTTGACGTGGATCACGCCGGAAACAATCATAGCAGTCTTCAATTCCTACTTAAACTAAAAAGCCACCATAACTTTATGTCAATCTCCAACTTGATAAACATTGTTCCATTCGTAAGAGATGACGATATGTATTGCACCATTTGCCATTCATGTCGGTTACTTAGCCAAACTTAGCAAATATCGAAACTGGGTAAGTTCAGTTTAATGAAATCCATGAAGATTTGCTTTTAATGGTAAAAAGAAGGCCAAGATATACCATGTTAGTGCTTATTGACATTGAACCGTTTCAGATTCAGGTTTTACTCACTTAATTCGTGTCATGTTTAGTTTACATCAAATGGGCGATTAGTTTCGAACTAAAGACAACCAATTAGGTGAGGAGACGAACGTACTGTTGATACTCAACGTTGACGGCTGCGGCGGAAGACTTTGCAATAGTACCAAATGCCGTTGTTGAGAGGACGATGGTTGCGCCCTTGCTCGAGGGGCGTGAAGACGCGGTTAGCGCTCGGTCGACGATTCGGACTTGGATAGTTTGGCTGGGAATGCAGGTTCCAGAGACGGAGGCGCTGATGCACCGCACTAGGTACTGCCTCCCACACGATGCTCCGTTGTCCCAGATCCCTTCACCCGCCGCAGCAAAGAGGTTGCTCGATGGGAACTGCGATGGATCATTACCGAAACACGCGGTCGCTGAAACACAATGATCAAACTTATGAGTGAGAGAGAGAGAAGGAGGGGGGAGGGGGAGAGAGATGTTACGTACGTGTGTATGGAGGACTGTAGTGAGCGGCAGTGCCGACGTCAGCACGAGAGAGATGAGGCAGCGTAGCCAACAGAAGAAAGGCAAGTAGAGAAAGAGAGAGAAATGATCTTTTAATGCTGGAGGGCTTCATTGTTCTGGAAGAATCTGTGAGGCCAATGTGATACCTGAATGAAGTGAGAAGAGAAGAGAAGAGAAGAACTCCATTGTTGGCTCAAATCCTTAAATAGATCAACATTTTTCTCATAATTTTGTAAAACTTAAAATTCTTTACTCTATTCAGTCTTTTGAAAGGAGAAATATGAAAGAAAGAAAGAAAAGAGAACTGTAGACGTTAAGCCTATGAACTAAAATTGTTGGAGATGAAGAAGAAGAAATTATGTATTAGGGGAAGAAGACTACTTAACACTGTTTGTTGTGATCAGAAAATTAATAATTCGGAAAAAGCCATAACAAAAAATAATTGGAGATGAGGTACGGCTAACCAAATCTACCTCGTCTCCGTAAGGCGATTAGTTCCTACTAACGATATTAAGCAGCTTCACAAACTATGTCTCTCCAAATACAACACCTTGAATCCGTTTGAATTTGCACTATGCAAATAAGACTCTGTCGAACGCTTTTTGAAGTCGGCACACTTAGATAAAATTGAAGTGAGGATGTGGGTGTTTCTAGTGATGCTTTGAATGAAGAATTTCAAATTTATTTATAGAGTTTCAGAATTTATGTAAAGAAGCAATACATGAACTATGAATTAAATAGATACATAATCCAAGATATACATGAACTCGGTAGATACATGAATTAAGTAAATACACGAATCTAAGAGATACATGAATCCAAGTGATACACGAATCCAAGAGATATATGAACTAAAGATACATTTTGTTTTAGCTCACATTCATTGATTTATTAACCCTCCATAATTACAACACTAAAAAGTAATGGTAATGATTCTAAAAAAGTGGTCTCATTTTTCTCTATTCCTAGTTGAAGAGATGTCTCTAATTGGTGGGTTACGAACATCTACTATTAAGTTTAAATAAGTTTGTATGTGGGTGATCAGGGCTGAGGGGGTGTTGTACCGATGTACTGGCCTCATTTTCCGATCTCAATTTTCCCAAGCATTGGATTCGCGTCATACAGCGATCCATGCCAAATGGAAGAGATGAACCCTAGCAACACTGACCCGTCTCTCTCCCCTCCCTCTCTCTCCTCTTCCTTAAATCGCGTTGCTGCTATGCCAAAGAGAGAGGAGAAGGGAGAGCTAGGGTTTTGTGGTGGTTGATGCTAGATGGACTCGTTGCGAAGATATGGGGACTGTATATGGGTAAAGTAACCCTCACCTGGGTAATTGATGTTCATAAATGGCTGCGAAGGAGGAGGTTTCTAGAGGTTATTAGTGTTGTGCTGTTCCTCAACAACGGAGAGGGAAAAACCGAAATCTTGTGTTAGAAAAATCAAGTATTATTTACCCATCAAATTTATGGAAATTTAAGATGCTACGTCAAGCAGAACCACTTCCAATGTTTGACGTTTCTGAAATAATCTTAGCGTTAAACTGTAGTAGAGAAATGCAAGCTCAAAACTACTGATAAAAGTGGTGATTTGATTACCATGTAGGATTACGTGATTAACAAATTGGAAGGATGCTGATGGCTATTTTGTTCCCCTGCACACGGTTTGCCCAAATATCTTAAATGCGATATGAAAAATTTGGGAATTATACATGTCATTAGCACGTAAATGTCTTTCAATTACTGTCAATTTGTGCTTGCCAGAACGTAGATTTTGTCATGCTTTTTTTCTAGAAGGGATCATACAGAACCATCGGTCATCATCCAACCTAAAATCTTGCCCAAAAGGAAAAAATCTTCTCTTTCTATTGGATAGAGTTTGCTTTATGCTTCTAGAGATGGGAACTGAATTGACATTGTCAGCCTTGTCTTCCTATAATCCTACTGTGGTGATTGCTGATGAGCATTAGGCTTGATCATCACAAGACTAGATTGCTGCGATTACTCACCCTCGCCCTTTCCATTCGGTTCTTTCTTACGATGCAACAAAAGAAGAGACTAAATAATCGAAGTACCAATGTAGTAGGACCAAAATATAAAGATTGGGTGACATTCATTGATACGATAATTTAAAAAAAAAAATTAGGGTCTTCAAAATTACCTGAGGATTTCCTTTGACTTCTTCGGGCTCTCGTACAAAGAAACTTTCAGAAATTTAAGAGAGAATGCTTTATTGCTCTTATTGTATTGGATATTTGGGATGATACATATAAAGAGGAGGAGACCCATATATATACTTGAGCCTTTCTAATTACAACCGTAGATCTCTCCCTAATTTAATGGTGGAGATTTGATTTCCTTATTTACCACCTACCCCCATTAATTACAAGGATTCTCTATAACAAAAGTGTGCATTACCCATAATATCCCTAGGAACATAGTAGAGTACCGTGGAAACTCTAAACTCTTAAAAGTTTCAACACTTGTTCCATCATCTTGGCCACCTCCCAGACATGTGCCATGAATACATTCGGTCCATGACATGTGTATCATGTTAAAGCACTCATACACGCTCCTCCGCTCGATGACCCAACGAACTTGCGTATCGTTTACACGAGCCTTGAATAATGTTTTCAGAACCATCGAGATGAGCGGAGCCGAGCCAATTTCCGATTTCCAATTTTTTTTTTTTCTAATCCTACCTTCGAATGCCAGGCCTATGGTTTTCCCGCCAAGCAGCTGACAGATCGGATCTGGAGTTGAGATCGAGTGGGCCTGGACGTGGAAACTGGACTAGCAAAGCAATGGATCATGAGCCATCATATGGCTCTTTGCCCAGCTAAATAGCCCAAGCCTGCTTTCTTTCCGTCACTAATTGCAACGCTTTGGCGACGAAAACATAAGAAACGACGCATTCTTTTTTCCCATGCAGAAAAGCTACAAACATCCACAGACCCTGCTAATCATCCAACGCCATCTCAACAAATCCATGGATTCAACTAAGCAACACTCGCAGTCTCAGTCTCAGTCTAGGATAAACATAGGTTTGTTTATAGAACAAAACAGTCGATCTTGCTATTTTGCATGTGTTCAACAGATAAGGGTTGTTCCGGGTAGGGCTTATGCTGTATCCTGAGCTTGGGCTGATGCTCTTGTTGCTCTTTGGCGACACTTCTATTGTACTCCATAAGTTATTGCTTGATGCCTTGTTTACAGGGCGAATTTCATGCCGTAAACCTGATTTAGTTGATGTTTTCCAACTGATTCAAGTTCCAATATGTCATAACAGCTCTCTCCGTATGCTGTACCAGAGTCATCTATACGATCTGAACAGAAGATAAGTTTCGGGTGTTAGATTACCTTTTCAGTCATTTCAGAAATGATGTTTGTGTGGGGGTCGTAGGGCGGTGTGCCTCTCAACTTATGCGTGCTTCATTTGATATGGCAGTTAGGTTTGTCTGGACTAGATAAACGATAAAGTATCTGGTCAAGCCTCTGTAGAAATTCATCCAACAAGAGCAGATGTTCAAAACACTCGGTAAGGTTTGATCAGGTTTCGGAGCTGTAGGTGGAACTTGAATTTGCGGATGGTTCTAATGTAAAGATTGTTTGTCCTGTATGAAATTTTGCAGTGGTCAACCTCGATTCCGGGTGGATGACAGTAAGCTAAAAGAATATACCTTGGATGAGCAGAAGCAGAGAAAACAGGACAACACTAAGGAAAGTTTTCATACTCTTGGTGACCCATTTCGGCATAGGTGTACGGACTGTGACACGGCGTCCTCTGCTAAATCTTGCACAAACAGGCAGAGTGAGAGTGACGGCAGCGAACTTAATTATGGAACTGAGACTATACCCTGAACAATATCCAGCAGATGATGCTGCAAATGAAATTGGATCACCTTCTGATGCTTCTATGGATATCAAGGCAAGCAAAGATAAACGTACTTATCAGATGGCTTCTTCATGTGTTGCTGAGCTATCTGATTTAGATAATTTGCTAGCAAAAGACTGCACAGATGTATCGAAAGCTTCCTTAACGGGCTAAGACTGTCCTAGTAAGGGTCAGAACCAGGAGTTGACGAGGGAAAAGAACATCAGGAGCATTAGATTAAGTCTTAAACCGATTAAGTTAAACAGGACAATGATCCCCGCCAATCCTATTATAAATCATTACCGATTAAGTTTTGTTAATTATATATCTTCATTAAATGTAAAAGTATATGGCATCATGGAATGGGAAAATTACCAAAAAAGTCATGAACCTACAGCACGGATACCAATTCGATCCTAAATCTTTCAATTTGGCCAATTTAATCATAAAATTTTTGACAATTAATCAATGTAATCCTTTCGGCCAAATTTTGGCCTGAAAATATTAACGTGGATGCCGGCCGTCTTATGTGATACAGCCGAAAGACGGCCGTTGCAAATGTAGATAAATTTTTTGCAATTTTTTGCAATTTTTTTTCCTTTTCTTTTCTTTCCTTCTTCTTTTTTCTTATTTTCCTCTACCACTCCGTAGCCTTTGCAGTGGCCAACAGAGGTCGCTAGCCACAACCAAGGGCCGAGACGCCCTCTCCGGCCCTCGCTAGCCATAGTGAGTGCCATCGAGCCCTCACCTAGTGCCGGCGAGAGTCATCAGCCCTTTGTAAAAACGCAAAAGAAAGAAAAAAGGGAAAATTAAAAAATTTAGAAAAATTATTGTCCATATCAGCGCCAGTCGTGCTACATAGGACGGACGGCATTCACATCAACGAATTCCAACCAAAATTAGTCAGAAGAAGAACTATATTGACAAATTATCAAAAGGTTTAGAACTAAATTGATCAAATTGAAAGGTTTAGGTCTGAATTGGCATCCATACAATAGGTTTATGACTTTTTTGGTAATTATTCCTTATGGAATGGATTGATTGTTCATGTGTTCATGCAGTTGGACACTTTAATTAGGTTATCATGCTAGGCACTTTCTTTTCTATTTTTATTTTCAAAGTTCAGATTAATTAATTAACCAGTTGCCTATGTTGCTCCATTAAAATTTGTGGCCCGGAATGCTCTGTCAATATCAAGAATGATGGGATTCGTCATGTTAGCATAGTTCAATAATATAAATCAAGCGGTTTATTGGATTGAGATCCTCTCGATTTAGGGAATTATTCCGAATCGTCGCATAGTATCAAAAAAAAGCAAGGGGTGTTGTGCTATCGGGGTAAAATTTAGTAAAATACTTTGAAAGGATCGCGATCCATTCGGGTTAACGATTACTTTTTCTCCCTGAATTTCATTCTCTTGTGGCAATAAGCAGGCTTAGTAATTTCAAGGGGCAGAGATGAGATGCTCCAACAATGCACTTGAGGAATTGATGGAATGTTCAAAACTGGGGTCTTGTTAAGAGCTTCCATCGAACTACCATATGCCATTGATGAATGTTCAAAACTAGGGTCTTGGTAAGTGCTTCCATTGAACTACTATATGCCAGCAGGAAACGGATCTAGATATAAAATAAGGCGGTGTAGATATGCAAATCCAGTGGGTCCTCGAGTTGGCGGCGGTCATACGGCGGCGATGATATGACACGCACATGCAAACGAACAGACATGTGTATTTCTTCGATGAATAAAAGAGGACAGACGCCTACAATTACGGGTGTTGCGCAGGCAATTTTATCCTTTGTTTTTCCCTTGTCCTAGTCGTCGGAAGCGCATGCAATTGGATATCACAGCATCTCCACGTACAAGAGGAACTAGATCCATCGAAAGGACGTCTCCAAGTACACCTGCTACAAGTAGAAATTTGAGTCAATTGAGCAACACAATTTCTACAGTGAAAACCACTCCACCGAAGTTATCCATCCGAATTCCATTAATTACGACCAAATTGCTCTTGTTCAAAGCTGCATGTACAGATCCAAAGACCTGATCCTATTAAGTTCATGGGCTTGTAATGGGATATTTCATGGATTTTGGGTTATCGGACCTCTGAATCTGTGTCTCTAATGGTAACAAGAAATTACATATAGAAGAAAAATAAATATGGGTCATGTGTATGATACAATTCGTGGTGGGGCTCATGTTCAGAGAAAGGATCTAGGGTTTTATAGGGAATTAGAACACACGCATGCACTCTAATCTCTATGATAAATTAATTGTTCGAAGGATAGTCAGCGTGCAATTGCAATGCATTCTGTCAATGTAATTGAATTCAAGTTGCTCTAGAGAGATAGCACCATTCACCAAGGTGATATATTCACCAAAAACGTGTATAAATAGATATATATTCTCGTTGCCAAAAGGCATAAGAATATATCAATAAGCCATTCAGATAATATTAGAGAATGAGACAAATGACACGTACTGATAATTCAATTTAAAATTTTACTTAACGAACGAATTTGCTTTCATGCCTAAAAACTATGCAAATTGGGTAATAGAAGAGTAGTAAAAACATAAACCACGAAATTTTCTCCAATTGTCTTGCAGTTCAAAACACAAAAAAGGCGTTGTCCCGAAAATTTTAACGAATAAACACATAAAATCACTTGGACAGAAAAGAAATGTTTTTTTATGAAATAAAAAAGGGAAAGGAAATGAATGGAAGATAAAAGAAAATAGAATATCACCTTTCACCGCACAAATCTAATTCATGATCGGGACAAATGTCAATAAAGCATAACTTATAATGAAATTTGATTATAATGATATTTTTGTTCGCAACATACACAATGAGATCATTTTAAAAATATTCTTTTTTTTTTGGGACGTTTTAAGTAGAGAAAGGAAACTTAAAGCAAAACCCTAATTGAAGCCCGAGTCAAACACAAATCACCCATATCATCTGTCCTCAAACTCTCGAATGAAGGGTGAACGCAGCCGTTCACACTTCTACAGCGTATGCACTAATTTTCCTTAAATATATTTACCAAGATGCAGTTCAATACAATTTAATAGATGCTCTGACTAATTTATTAATAATTAGACAGATGAAATCGTTGACCAGCTCCAAAGTACACGCGGATGTCCATATCAAATCCTGCCAAGAAAGAAGTCAAAAAAAAAAAGTACAGCCGTCATCGCTTTGTCTTCAAAGTCCTAATCCCCAAAATAATTAGAAAAAAACAAAATGAAACTATCTGACTTTTCAATTCATCGCTGTCTTGAAGTGAACGATTTTACCACGACACGTAAGGTCATCGCTCACGGGTGATAAAATTTCGCACTTTCCATCTCCATCTTGATAAACATTGTG